CATTGTAACATGGGGGGGGGAATACATTGTAACATGACAACATGGGGGACATTTCAGGGGGGGGAATACATTGTAACATGACAACATGGGGGGCATTTCAGGGGGGGGGGGAATACATTGTAACATGACAACATGGGGGGCATTTCAGGGGGGAGGGGGGGAATACATTGTAACATGACAACATGGGGGACAATTCAGGAGGGAGGGGAAATACATTGTAACATGACAACATGGGGGGGGGGGGGCATTTCGGGGGGGGAATACATTGTAACATGACAACATGGGGGACATTTCAGGGGGGAATGGAATACACTGTAACATGACAACATGGGGGACATTTCGGGGGAGGGGGGGGATACATTGTAACATGACAACATGGGGGACATTTCAGGGGGGAGGGGATACATTGTAACATGACAACATGGGGGGACATTTCAGGGGGGAGGGGAATACACTGTAACAATGACAACATGGGGGGACATTTCGGGGGGAGGGGGGAATACATTGTAACATGACAACATGGGGGACATTTCAGGGGGGAGGGGAATACATTGTAACATGACAATATGGGGGGCATTTCGGGGGGAGGGGGAATACATTGTAACATGACAAAATGGGGGGCATTTCAGGGGGGAGGGGGAATACATTGTAACATGACAACATGGGGGACATTTCAGGGGGGAGGGGATACATTGTAACATGACAACATGGGGGACATTTCAGGGGGGAGGGGATACATTGTAACATGACAACATGGGGGACATTTCGGGGGGGGGGATACATTGTAACATGACAACATGGGGGGGGCATTTCGGGGGGGGGACATTGTAACATGACAACATGGGGGACATTTCGGGGGGGGGGCTTCTTCAAGGCGCTGTACATTGTTTCATTCATTAACACATCACACCCGCGTCATTGTATTGGAAATCTCCGCAGACTGAATTGTCTGTTATAGGCCGCGCGGGCACAGGGAACACGTAAACTGCGGAGAAGTCTTAAGGATCATTGCTAACTGCTAACTGGCTGATGTGAGAAGAGAGCGCCACACTTGGCGGATGACCGGAGCTCCTGTCCTGGACCAACATGGATGTGTTCTCAGCTCCGGATGAAGCTGCTCTCTGCCAGGTGGAGGCTGGGAGAGGGAAGGCGAGGTCAGGGACAATTGTGGGTCAGATGTGTCATAATCAGAGCAGCGGACGGCACACAAGTCACGTCTTCCCCTGCGTGCGAGCCGGGAATCGGGGACTCCCGGCTTAGACTGGCCGCAGGAAATCAGATTACTCAGGTAATACTTGGACAGTCCGTGGGCTCCGGGGACAATCTGTGATAGAGCCTGAAAAGGAGAATTAGAAACAGCAGGAAAAATCAGCTTCAGATATCAGATCCAGAGGAGCTCCGACACCAAACAATGATCAATGTCACCAGAGGAGCTCGACACCAAACAATGATTAATGTCACCAGAGGAGCTCCGACACCAAAACAATGATCAATGCCATTAGAGGAGCTCCGACAGCAAACAATGATCAACGTCACCAGAGGAGCTCCGACACCAAACAATGATGATCAACGTCACCAGAGGAGCTCCGACACCAAACAATGATCAATGCCATTAGAGGAGCTCCGACACCAAACAATGATCAACGTCACCAGAGGAGCTCCGACACCTAAACAATGATCAATGTCACCAGAGGAGCTCGACACCAAACAATGATCAATGCCATTAGAGGAGCTCCGACACCAAACAATGATCAACGTCACCAGAGGAGCTCCGACACCAAACAATGATCAATGTCACCAGAGGAGCTCGGACACCAAACAATGATCAATGCCATTAGAGGAGAGCTCCGACACCAAACAATGATCAATGTCACCCAGAGGAGCTCCGACACCAAACAAATGATCAATGTCACCAGAGGAGCTCGGACACCAAACAATGATCAATGCCATTAGAGGAGCTCCGACACCAAACAATGATTAATGTCACCAGAGGAGCTCCGACACCAAACAATGATCAATGTCACCAGAGGAGCTCCGACACCAAACAATGATCAATGCCATTAGAGGAGCTCCGACACCAAACAATGATCAACGTCACCAGAGGAGCTCCGACACCAAACAATGATCAATGTCACCAGAGGAGCTCCGACACCAAACAATGATCAATGCCATTAGAGGAGCTCCGACACCAAACAATGATCAACGCCATCACCAGAGGAGCTCCGACACCAAACAATGATCAACGTCACCAGCGTAGCTTCGACACCAAACAATGATCAACGCCATCAGATCCAGAGGAGCTCCGACAGCAAACAATGATCAACGTCACCAGAGGAGCTCCGACACCAACAATGATTAACATCACCAGAGGAGCTCCGACACCAAACAATGATCAATGCCATTAGAGGAGCTCCGACACCAAACAATGATCAACGCCATCAGATCCAGAGGAGCTCCGACACCAAACAATGATCAACGTCACCAGAGGAGCTCCGACACCAAACAATGATCAATGCCATCAGATCCAGAGAGCTCCGACAGCAAACAATGATCAACGGCACCAGAGGAGCTCCGACACCAAACAATGATTAACGTCACCAGAGGAGCTCTGACACCAAAAAATGATCAACGTCACCAGAGGAGCTCCGACACCAAAAAATGATCAATGCCATCAGATCCAGAGGAGCTCCAACACCAAACAATGATCAACGTCACCAGAGGATCTCCGACACCAACAATGATCAACATCAGCAGAGGAGCTCCAACACCAAACAATGATCAACGCCATCAGATCCAGAGGAGCTCCGACACCAAACAATGATCGACGTCACCAGAGGAGCTCCGACACCAAACAATGATCTACGTCATCAGAGGAGCTCCGACACCAACAATGATCAACGTCACCAGAGGAGCTCCGACACCAAACAATGATCAACGTCACCAGAGGAGCTCCGACACCAAACAATGATCAACACCATCAGATCCAGAGGAGCTCCGACAGCAAACAATGATCAACGTCACCAGAGGAGCTCCGACACCAACAATGATTAACATCACCAGAGGAGCTCCGACACCAAACAATGATCAGCCATTAGAGGAGCTCCGACACCAAACAATGATCAACGCCATCAGATCCAGGAGCTCCGACACCAAACAATGATCAACGTCACCAGAGGAGCTCCGACACCAAACAATGATCAATGCCATCAGATCCAGAGGAGCTCCGACAGCAAACAATGATCAACGGCACCAGAGGAGCTCGACACCAAACAATGATCAACGTCACCAGAGGAGCTCCGACACCAAAAATGATCAACGTCACCAGAGGAGCTCCGACACCAAAAAATGATCAATGCCCATCAGATCCAGGGAGCTCCGACACCAACAATGATCAACGTCATCAATCCAGAGGATCTCCGACACCAACAATGATCAACATCAGCAGAGGAGCTCCGACACCAAACAATGATCAACGCCATCAGATCCAGAGGAGCTCCGACACCAAACAATGATCGACGTCACCAGAGGAGCTCCGACACCAAACAATGATCTATGTCAACAGAGGAGCTCCGACACCAACACTGATCAACGTCCAGAGACTCCCCAAAAACAATGATCAACGTCACCAGAGGAGCTCCGACACCAAACAATGATCAACGTCACCAGAGGAGCTCCGACACAAACAATGATGAACGTCACCAGAGGAGCTCTGACACCAAACAATGATCAACATCAGATCAAGAGGAGCTCCGACACCAAACAATGATCAATGTCATCAGAGGAGGAGCTCCGACACCCACACAATGATCAACGTCACCAGAGGAGCTCCGACACCAAACAATGATTAACGTCACCAGAGAGGAGCTCCGACAACAAACAATGATCAATGCCATCAGATCCAGAGGAGCTCCGACACCAAACAATGATCAACGTCACCAGAGGAGCTCCGACACCAAACAATGATCAACGTCACCAGAGGAGCTCCGACACCAAACAATGATCAATGCCATCAGATCCAGAGGAGCTCCGACACCAAACAATGATCAACGTCACCAGAGGAGCTCCGACACCAAACAATGATCAACGTCACCAGAGGAGCTCCGACACCAAACAATGATCAATGTCATCAGATCCAGAGAGAGCTCCGACACCAAACAATGATCAACACCATCAGATCCAGAGGAGCTCCGACACCAAACAATGATCAACGTCACCAGAGGAGCTCCGACACCAAACAATGATCAACGCCATCAGATCCAGAGGAGCTCCGACACCAAACAATGATCAATGCCATCAGATCCAGAGGAGCTCTGACACCAAACAATGATCAATGCCATCAGATCCAGAGGAGCTCCGACACCAAACAATGATCAACGTCAGATCCAGAGGAACTCCGACACCAAACAATGATCAACGTCACCAGAGAGCTCCGACACCAAACAATGATCAATGCCATCAGATCCAGAGGAGCTCCGACACCAAACAATGATCAACGTCACCCAGAGGAGCTCCGACACAAACAATGATCAATGCCATCAGATCCAGAGGAGCTCCGACACCAAACAATGATCAACGTCATTAGAGGAGCTCCGACACCAAACAATGATCAACGTCACCAGAGGAGCTCCGACACCAAACAATGATCAACATCACCAGAGGAGCTCCGACACCAAACAATGATCAATGTCACCAGAGGAGCTCCGACACCAAACAATGATCAATGTCACCAGAGGAGCTCCGACACCAAACAATGATCAAAATGTCACCAGAGGAGCTCCGACACCAAACAATGATCAACACGTCATTAGATCCAGAGGAGCTCCGACACCAAACAATGATCTACATCATCAGATCCAGAAGAACTCTGACACCAAACAATGATCAACCTGACTGGAGACTGATGGGGACACCTGATGTAATGGAGCACTCTGATGGTGACACCTGCTGTAAAAAGGGAAAATGGTAGGGACATCTGATGTAAGGGGGAACTCTGGTGGGGACACCTAATTTAAGGAGGGACTCTGATGGGGACACCTGATGTAAGGTTCACTCTGATAGGGACACCTGATGTAAGGGGCACTCTGATGGGGACACCTGATGTAAGGGGCACTCTGATGGGGACACCTGATGTAAGGAGGGACTCTGATGGGGACACCTGATGTAGGCACTCTGATGGGGACACCTGATGTAAGGAGGGACTCTGATGGGGACACCTGATGTAAGGGGCACTCTGATGGGGACACCTGATGTAAGGAGGGACTCTGATGGGGACACCTGATGTAAGGGGCACTCTGATGGGGACACCTGATGTTAAGGGGGGACTCTGATGGGGACACTTGATGCAAGAGGGCACTCTGATGGGGACACCTGATGTAACGAGGGACTCTGATGGGGACACCTGATGTAAGGGGCACTCTGATGGGGACACCTGATGTAAGGAGGGACTCTGATGGGGACACCTGATGTAAGGGGCACTCTGATGGGGGACACCTGATGTAAGGAGGGACTCTGATGGGGACATCTGATGTAAGGGGGAACTCTTATGGGGACAACTGATGTAAGGAGGGACTTTGATGGGTCTCCCTGTTGTAAGGGGGGGACTCTGATTAGACACCTGATATAAGGGGGCACTGTGATGGGGATACATGATGTAAGAGGGCACACTGATGGGGACGGAACCCATAAATTATATAGACTAGATCCAGTCCTGGCTCACATTGAGGGCGGATCCCAAAACGATCCCCGAGGAATGAAAAACTGATAATACAATTGATAGAAAAGTCTGATATCATGAAGGGGGGGGGGGTGGGGTTATCCTCATGGGAGGGGGGTTTTATCCTCATTGGGGGTTTTTATCCTCATGGGGGGGGGTTTATCCTCATTGGGGGTTTATCCTCGTTGGGGGGTTATCCTCATGGGGGGGTTATCCTCATGAAGGGGGCTATCCTCATGAAGTGGGTTTTACGGTTTTATCCTCATGGGGGGGGGGTTATCCTCATGGGGGGGGTCAGTCCGGTCAGACATTATACAATCGTCTTGTACAATCTTCCGTTAGGTATACCACAGCCAAATATATGAGGTGTGAAACTCTCTTGGTCGGTAGGCCGGCCCCGGCTCTGCATAGCTGTTGGCAGATCGAAAGGAAATTGATCAGGAAAATTGTATAATGTGTGGCCGGCTTTACACTGTTCATTATCAAGACATGGAATGGGAAATGCGCCCCCTGAGGGTGGGGGTGGGGGGGCAATGAAGATCACATCGGGGTCACAAAATTGGTTCCCTGGTGTCACTCCGGCTCTGAAACTCATACTGCAGCCCCCACCCCCTTCCCTGTTCATTTGTCATTCAGGGAAACCCCCCTCCCCTCCCCCATCCAAAATGTGCTGCTATTTCGGGGAGGAGACCCCCCTCCCCCTCCTGGAATTCTGCTGCCACTCCACCCAAAATTAAAAAAACACACAAAACCTCCGAACATCCGAAACCACAAAATTCCAAACCATCTGCGCAGACACTGCACCCTTCTATGAACACCATCTGTACTCCTCCCTCCACCGGGGGACCCCGGGGAGAAATTCCGTCACCTGTACTCCTCCCTCCGCCGGGGGACCCCGGAGAGAAGTTCTGTCATCTGTACTCCTCCCTCCACCGGGGGACCCCGGGGAGAAATTCCGTCACCTGTACTCCTCCCTCCGCCGACCTCCGGGGGACCCCGGAGAGAAAGTTCTGTCATCTGTACTCCTCCCTCCGCCGGGGGACCCCGGGGAAAATTTCCATCACCTGTACTCCTCCCTCCGCCGGGGGGACCCCGGGGAGAAGTTCCGTCACGGATTTATTCTGGGGTCTGGAGCAGGGGAGGACTGACCATTTGGAAACTCGGCACTGCCCGAGGGCCCGGGGTCAGTAGGGGGCCCCATGAGATGCCCCTGGTACCTTTTTCATAGGCTTTTTTGAGTGTTGGCAAGGGCACAGGGGCCCCATGATCCCCTATTGCCTGGGGGCCCCATGAGTTGTCACTCCGCCCCTGGTCTGGAGGAGATCGGAGCCGGGCGACCATTGGGAATTCCCGCACAGCTGTGGACAGCAGGAGGAAATCAGACAAAATGAGATTCACCAACTTGCCTGATTTCCTCCCCTTCATTTTGTAAACTCTGAGATTCCCCCGAAGTCGGCTCACACTGTCAGACAATGGGACGAACGATTCTCTGATGTCAGGCGAAGGGGCGTGTCACGGTGGACCAATAGAAACAGCCGCTGTGAGAGCTGAAAACGACTGAAAAAAAACGCCCAATCCCACCATTCAGGCGTTTTTCCATTCAAGTCTATGGGGCTCCAGTGTGAACAGGGCCACTGGAGATAATGGGATTGCTGAGCGTTGGACTTCCAGCTGAAAAAATGCTTCAGTGTGAACGGGATCTGAGCGTTCGGTCAATCCTGTCTGTTCAGGACACCTGATATAAGGGGGCACTCTGATGGGGACACCTGATGTAAGGGGGCACTCCAACTACCATGTGAGCGATGTACGACTATCATGTGAGCGATGTACGACTACCATGTGAGCGATGTACGACTACCATGTGAGCGATGTACGACCACCATGTGAGCGAAGTACGACCACCATGTGAGCGATGTACGACTACCATGTGAGCGATGTACGACTATCATGTGAGCGATGTACGACCACCATGTGAGCGATGTACGACCACCATGTGAGCGATGTACGACCATCATGTGAGCGATGTACGACCACCATGTGAGCGATGTACGACCACCATGTGAGCGATGTACGACCATCATGTGAGCGATGTACGACCACCATGTGAGCGATGTACGACCATCATGTGAGCGATGTACGACTATCATGTGAGCGATGTATGACCACCATGTGAGCGATGTATGACCATCATGTGAGCGATGTACGACTATCATGTGAGCGATGTACGACGATCATGTGAGCGATGTACGACGATCATGTGAGCGATGTACGACCACCATGCGAGCGATGTACGACTATCATGTGAGCGATGTACGACGATCATGTGAGCGATGTACGACCACCATGTGAACGATGTACGACCACCTTGTGAGCGATGTACGACAATCACGTGAGCGATGTACGACTATCATGTGAGCGATGTAGGACCACCATGTGAGCGATGTACGACTACCATGTGAGCGATGTACGACTATCATGTGAGCGATGTACGACTATCATGTGAGCGATGTACGACTACCATGTGAGCGATGTACGACTACCATGTGAGCGATGTACGACTATCATGTGAGCGATGTACGACTATCATGTGAGCGATGTACGACTACCATGTGAGCGATGTACGACTACCATGTGTGCGATGTACGACAATCATGTGAGCGATGTACGACCACCATGTGAGCGATGTACGACTATCATGTGAGCGATGTACGACTACCATGTGAGCGATGTACGACTACCATGTGTGCGATGTAGGACCACCATGTGAGCGATGTACGACCATCATGTGAGCGATGTACGACTACCATGTGAGCGATGTACGACTACCATGTGAGCGATGTCCGACTATCATGTGAGCGATGTACGACTACCATGTGAGCGATGTACGACCATCATGTGAGCGATGTACGACCACCATGTGAGCGATGTACGACTATCATGTGAGCGATGTATGACCACCATGCGAGCGATGTATGACTATCATGTGAGCGATGTACGACGATCATGTGAGCGATGTACGACGATCATGTGAGCGATGTACGACCACCATGTGAGCGATGTACGACTATCATGTGAGCAATGTACGACTACCATGTGAGCGATGTACGACTACCATGTGAGCGATGTAGGACCACCATGTGAGCGATGTATGACTACCATGTGTGCGATGTACGACAATCATGTGAGCGATGTACGACCACCATGTGAGCGATGTACGACTATCATGTGAGCGATGTACGACTACCATGTGAGCGATGTACGACTACCATGTGTGCGATGTAGGACCACCATGTGAGCGATGTACGACCACCATGTGAGCGATGTATGACTATCATGTGAGCGATGTACGACTATCATGTGAGCGATGTAGGACACACATGTGAGCGATGTACGACTACCATGTGAGCGATGTACGACTATCATGTGAGCGATGTACGACTATCATGTGAGCGATGTACGACCACCATGTGAGCGATGTACGACCACCATGTGAGCGATGTACGACCATCATGTGAGCGATGTACGACCACCATGTGAGCGATGTACGACCATCATGTGAGCGATGTACGACTATCATGTGAGCGATGTATGACCACCATGCGAGCGATGTACGACTATCATGTGAGCGATGTACGACGATCATGTGAGCGATGTACGACGATCATGTGAGCGATGTACGACGATCATGTGAGCGATGTACGACCACCATGCGAGCGATGTACGACTATCATGTGAGCGATGTACGACGATCATGTGAGCGATGTACGACCACCATGTGAACGATGTACGACCACCTTGTGAGCAATGTACGACAATCACGTGAGCGATGTACGACTATCATGTGAGCGATGTAGGACCACCATGTGAGCGATGTACGACTACCATGTGAGCGATGTACGACTATCATGTGAGCGATGTACGACTATCATGTGAGCGATGTACGACTACCATGTGAGCGATGTACGACTACCATGTGAGCGATGTACGACTATCATGTGAGCGATGTACGACTATCATGTGAGCGATGTACGACTACCATGTGAGCGATGTACGACAATCATGTGAGCGATGTACGACCACCATGTGAGCGATGTACGACTATCATGTGAGCGATGTACGACTATCATGTGAGCGATGTACGACTACCATGTGAGCGATGTACGACTACCATGTGTGCGATGTAGGACCACCATGTGAGCGATGTACGACCATCATGTGAGCGATGTACGACTACCATGTGAGCGATGTACGACTACCATGTGAGCGATGTCCGACTATCATGTGAGCGATGTACGACTACCATGTGAGCGATGTACGACCATCATGTGAGCGATGTACGACTACCATGTGAGCGATGTACGACTACCATGTGAGCGATGTACGACTATCATGTGAGCGATGTACGACCACCATGTGAGCGATGTATGACTATCATGTGAGCGATGTATGACCACCATGCGAGCGATGTATGACTATCATGTGAGCGATGTACGACGATCATGTGAGCGATGTACGACGATCATGTGAGCGATGTACGACCACCATGTGAGCGATGTACGACTATCATGTGAGCAATGTACGACTACCATGTGAGCGATGTACGACTACCATGTGAGCGATGTAGGACCACCATGTGAGCGATGTATGACTACCATGTGTGCGATGTACGACAATCATGTGAGCGATGTACGACCACCATGTGAGCGATGTACG